TTTTTTATCTCTAGCTGAGGTTGTAAAACTGAAGCTGCTAGCTCTTTTTGTGTGTGAAAAATACCTTTTTCTTTTTCTTTCCTTATAAAACGAAGGTAATGAAATATTTTGTTTATCACCTTCTGTATTTGTGGTCACTCCCTTCTTCTCTTCTCCTACTTTTCATTTCCTTTTTCTGCCCTCCCCCCAAAAATTTTTAGAGATTAATTGGTTATAAATATCTTTCATCTATTGAAATGATTGTGCACTTGATGGATAACTAGTCAGACAAAGGAGGGAAGAGTTAACACATAACATTACAAAGTTACTTGTACTTATGGGAGTACTTTTCTTCATTGGCATATAGAAGCACTCATATAAATTCAAAATAATAACTTTGAAGGTTAAAATAAATGGAAAAGGAGGAAAATCTGGAATAAATACATTCCAGGAGGGAGGAAAATCAAATTTTAATGTTTTCAAAGTGATGGCTCTTTAAGAAAAAACTTCAGAAGCTTGCTGCATCTATACCTCAGAGGTATAAAAAGGTTCAACTCTCAGATAAATTAATAGCCTTGATTATAGGTTAATAAGATAAAAAGTAAAAGAATGCTAAGGTACTTCAAACACAATTTAAAGAATTTTCAATATTAGGTTTATAACTATAGATATTCATAAAGTATAAAGCTTTTGAAAAGCTTAAGATTCTTGTTCAAGGTGAAAATTCTAATTCAAAGCAATTAATTATATTTCTTCTTGATTTTAACACAATACAGAAAATAATATTCTAGTTTATACAAAACTTGGGTTTATTTTATCATGGAAAGCCTAATTAATCTGAATGCTTTAAAGTTTCATGAGTCAAGGAAGTTTTTATTATTATAAAAAAGTAAAACTATTTGTCCAACTAAATAAAGTATGATAATTAATGTCCTTTAAAAGGGTTTACTCTTGTTAAGTGTTTATAATTCTATATACCATATATATATGAAATCATATAAATATATGAAATCCCTCATGTTTAAATTGAAGCGAAATTCATCTAACATAAAATTAACCATTTTGCAGTGTCTAAGTCAGTGGCATTTAGTACATTGACAATGTTGTACAACCATAGCCTCTACCTAGTTCCAAAACCAGAGGGGGTTTTCATCACCCCAAAAGAAGACCTCAAACCACTAAGCAGTTACTCCCTATTCCTCCCTGTCCCCAGCCCCTGGCAACTACCAAGCTGCTTTCTGTACCTATGGATTTACTTGTTCCAGCTATTTCAAACAAATGGAATCATACAATATGTGACCTTTTGTGTCTGACTTCTTTCACTTAGCATAATGTTTTCGTGGTTCATCCATGCTGGAGCATACATCAGTACTTCATTCATTTTAACAGCTGAATAATACTTCATTGTGTTTATATACACCACATTTTGTTTATCCATTCATTCATGATGGATATTTGGGTTGTTTCCACCTTTTGACTATTGTGAATAGTGCTGCTATAAACATTCATGTACAAGTGTTTATTTGATACCTGTTTTCAGTTCTTTTGAGTATATACCCAGAAACAGAATTGCTGGGTCCTATGGTAATTCTGTGTTTAACTTTTTATCAGGAACAATCAAATTGTTTTCCACATGGCTACATCATTTTACATTCCTACCAATTAACTTTAAGACTTTGAACTAATAGTAAATCAAGCTATTAGTACATATCTTATACACCTGAAAACTCTAGTTTTACTATACTCTTGCTATAAGTTAGCTGGTTACGATGGATGTAAAAATTTACTATTTTAAGAATTTCTTAAAGATGTATTTGATTGTAGAGAGGTGCATGTGTAAATGATGGATGTATTTTGTTTTGCTTTAATTAAAATTTTCTGGTTGTGCCAGAATATGAAGAAGGAAATAGAAGACACTTTCAGGATACACCATGAATATAGAACAGAGGAAAAAGCAAGATCAAGAGCCTGGGCTTATAATAACTGCATGTAGTGAATCTGAAATGAGCAAAGAAATATGTTTAAAATGTTTGCAAATTTGACTCAGTGATAATCGATTTATTCACAAGGTGGAAAGAGGCTTGTGTATCATTTACTGCAAACTGCTACATAAACGGTAATCAAAAAAGTAAAATAGAATTTGGGTCTCCTTCTGTTAAAATGGTAAATTGATCCTTGTCTACATAGAAAGCTACTAACAAAAACAAAGACAAAAGAGAAGAGTTAAAAGATGTTCTGTGCCCAGACATCAGTGGTTCTCTTTCTTACTAAAATGCTGTGTAACTTGTTGTTTTTGTCTCACTTTTGTATCAATATTAACAAAATGTCTTTAGTTTTGAAATAGAATTCCTAATAATCATTTTTATGTGTTGCCGTGTTTCCTTTAAATATTACCTGAAACCGTTTCTTGTCTTCACTCATCGTGACTGAGGCTCTTACCATGGCTCCTCTGATAACTCTTTTTGGTACTGCCTTTCCCAAATTCAGGACCCAAAATCAGAACTCCAAAGCTGTAAAGATATCTATTATACCTACGTCACCTTTGGAGTTTCCCAGGTGTCCACTGGGTATCACAAAAATTTGATCTCTCAGCTTTTAAAATAAGAGATCATAGAAATAATCTGATTTTACTATACTCAACACTATTATGTCTACCATATGAAAAATCAGCAAGTCAAAAAGCTAAACTTCTCTGTTTAGCTTTACATATAAATAAAATTTTAATGACATAAATGTTCTGGCAATTATGAAATTTTACATCAGAAACATACTTACGTTCATGCACAAAGATGGGCACTATGACTTTCAAAAAATAGATTAATTTTTCAAAAGACCTCTGATTTTCTAAATAAATACTCTTGTCAATTGATGATAATCAGAATACACTTAGTGAGATAAATTAAATACTCTGGAGATTTGACAATGCCCTCACTGTTTATAATGTGTTCTTACCCTCATGATAAGTATTAACTAAATCCTTATAAATCAATTGCTTATTGTACCTCAATAGAGGATTCTACTTTTCTGCATCCTGATATTGTTGCTTATTATAATGAATTAAACAGAACTTTTGAGTCTTATTATCCGCAAGCATTTTCTGCTTTTCCCTTACACTCGCCTAAAAGTCTCTGCTACAAGAACAGATCAGAAATAGAATCTTCTGAAAAAAATACTATATCAAAAGAGCTTCAGCAAAGGACTGAGCCAGATACTCAGGGCAGTTGAAACTACAAGGACTAGACTCACCACACTCTGTGAGACTGTCAAGAGTCCGTTATCAGGACACCCAGAACTTTCCCCTCCAAAAGCAAATGACTTCATGGAGATAAACTGTTTACTTTGAGATCAACAAAGCACAAATTAATTCCTTAGAACTTAATGAATGGGATGAACTGACTTAACTGTGGCCAGTGTTCTATTTTAAATGCTCTTGTGGGGGAAACTCTTTTCTTCTTAATCCAGCCCTGACCCTCAGTTTGACAGGTTACACTTGTTCAAACTAGTTATGAAACCCTCTTTAAATGAAATCTTGTTCCAACTGGACCCTGAGGATTGGGAGTGAGGGGAATCCTATGAAAGATCTTAATATAGGTTACAAATTAATAAATCATGAGGGAAAACAAGAATGATTCTTTTTTTAAAAAAAGATAAAACAATGGCAACAATGGTTAAATATTTTTCAAAGTACCTTTACTAAGCTTCTTTACTCCCTGTATCAATGGTTATTATTTGCCCAGGTTCACTAAGAATGCGTTCTTTTTCCAACCAGGGTACAATTGGATAAATCAAATCCAGTCTATATTATGATCTAAAATGATACTGTATGTAAATGACCATGTGTGATATCTTGGTGCATTCTCTTACCTGTTTCACAGAGGGAAAAAATTGGACCACGAAACTGCTTATGATAACCATTTTCCTTAGCCCAGGTTTGTTTTGGGTATTGTCTACTTGCGTCAATCACGCCAATCTGAGCTCTCAATATTCTAAATATATTTATCTGAGAATAAATAAATAAATATCTTCTGGGGAAAAGGAAATTCTATACTATGATCATGTCAGAATTCTCATCTAATTAAGTAGCATAAACCCAAGAACTATGCCTTCAATACAGAACAAGGCTGCCGCTGTCCTCCCACGAACCTGGTCTGCAAGCTGTCCTGTGAAACACTGACAAACAAGGGGATGTCAGGGAAAGAGGAGACCTTGACACACAGTGATGGCTAATTTTATATGTCAGTGTGTCTGAGTCACAGGATGCCCAGATGTTGGTAAACATCATTTCTGGGTGTGTCTGTTTCCAGATAAAATTAGATTGAGTAAAACAGATCTCTCTCCCCAGTGTGGGTGGGCCTCATCCAGTCCGTTGAGGGCCTGAATGAAGCAAAACCATGGAGAAAGGGAAACTTCTCCCTCTCTGCCTGACTGTTTGAGTTGGGATCAGTCTTCTCCTGCCCTCAGACCGGGAGTTACACCATCAGTGCTCCTGGTTCGCAGACCTTCAGACTCAGACACCATCAGCTATCCTGGGTCCTCAGACTGCAGACAGCAGACTGTGGGGCTTCCCAGCCTCCATAATGACATGAGCTGATTCCTCATAATAAATCTGTGTGCATCATCTATCAATCATCTTACCTACCTATCATCTATCAATCATCTTATCTATCATCAATCTATTTATCATTTGTATGTCTATCTATCAATCTCCTATTGGTTCTGTTTCTCTGGAGAGCCCGGGCTAATCCTTACATCCAAAACTTAACGGTACTGCAGATAAAGCCCAGTAGAAATGAATCTGAGGCTTCTTGGGTCCTGATCTCAGTGGACAAACTGACAAGGAAATTAAAATACTTCTGAGACATAAAATTTATACCCCTAGGGGCTTTACAAGGCCTCCAGATAGAAGTAACTCTTAAGCCTTAATATCATGTTGCTCTTGTTCTTTTGAATGTACAACAAGAGGGTCTTTGTGTATTAAACATTAGTTACGCCTATGAAAATAAGACATCCCTAGGAATTACCTGGCGGTCCAGTGGTTAGGACTCCGTGCTCTCACTGCTGTGGCCCAGGTTCAATCCCTCGTTGGGAAACTAAGATCCTACAAGCCGCAAGGCACAGCCAAAAAAAAGAAAACAAAACTCATCCACTAAAATAAAACATCATATTAATGACAGTGAAACAGAAAATCACTGAGCATCTTATGCGGTCTAATCCATACCTTAGGGGCAGGAAGTTGAACAAAGCATGGACTCCTGAAGCAAAAGTGATAGTTTGCTCTGCTTCCATTATGATTAAGGATACAACATACCACAATCAGGAAACAAGAAGAAAAGAGGATTTGCACCTTGACACAAACCAGAAATGATAGGGGCACTCCTACAAACCTGAACTCCCTAAGCAAAATATAGCTTAGTGCCTGACTTTCATAATACCAATGTATTGATCAGTGGACATGATGATCGTGTGAGAAAGTTACTGCTTTCCACCATGAACACAAGAATATGTTTGACCAATTTATAACCTGTGGTTTTCCCCATTTATTGGGGTCTTTATTTGGAGGGTCAGTCTTTTTGATGTCTGATTCCCTTTACCTTTTTGCAAGTTAACTTTTTCTCATTTCTTCTTTCTAAATGTTTTTGTTTGTTGGTTTATCCAAACTTGAGGAAAATCCCCACATTTTCATAATCAGGTGCCCCCATAGATGACGGTTTCTCTCTCATTTGGGGCATTTTTTTCATGAGGCCTCGAAATGTTGATCAGAAGAAGGGGCTGCTTTGACCCCTACCTCCTTCTCACCTCCCAGAGACACTGAAGCCACAGGCTTGAGTGGTCACTCCAAAGGTAGCACACAGCTCACCTCAGCTGAGGGTTAATTAGCTCTTTGGTCTGCAGGGGAAGGTCTACACAAAAGGAGATCTGTTTATTTTACTGTAACCAAATGTCAGGGGACCCTTAGTGCAACTTGCTAAGGGACCCAGCATTTCTCACTGCAGCATCTGTGAACGTCGCTCTGTGCATCCCTCATCTCACTACATCTCCATAAGCTCTTGTCCCAGTTATGCTCAGAAAGCACAGCCCCCAATCCCCAGGAATGTGCTAAAGCAGAAAAGAAAAAACTGCACTGCTATTCTTGGTCAGCTTAATGGCAAGGAGCTTCAGATTCTCTATAAAATGAAAAATTCAATTGTGTGAGGTCACCAGGTCACAATCTCCCTGAGAACACTGTTATTCGGAGCCAAACATCCTTCTCAGAGGGGTCCTTAAAGTTTAATAACATCAGCCGACTGCAGCAAGACCCTGCAAGCCCATAATCCCAAAATGAGCCTCTGTGTGCTATTATGGAGGATCTCCAGTCTACCTGTGTGCAATTTTAGATCATCAAAGGTGACATTGAACACTGTCTCCGAAATTTCAATCACAGCCTTAACCACCTTGTGATTTAGCCAATAGCAGTTCTGTGGCTCTTTGGGAAAAAAAGGCCACCTTCGCAAGGCTGGAGGAAATGCTTATACCGCAGTGGGAAGCAGAGAAGCACACACAGTAAAAACTAGGCAAAGTCAAGAGTGTTTGCTTAGTTGCTATGCCATGGCATGGGATTGCGGTGTCCCTTGTACCATGCTGGGTACAAGATATTTTTATACAGAACTTCTTTCTTAGTTTAAAGAATTTACATATTATGACACCTGCCCTCTTCTCACTTAACAGCAATCCCAGTAGAAGTGAAATAAGTACAGAAGGAAGGGAAAAGCATGTTCTTCAAATTGCTATCTACCAATGCCTCCAACGAAGATGAATCTCAAATAACTAACGTTGAGTGAAAATGGCAGACACAGTGAGTCTATACTGTTAAGATTCCATTTATATGTAGCTCAAGAACGGGCAAAATTAATCTATGATGATATAAATCAGGAAGAGGCTGTCTCTCAGTGGCCTTATTGGCCAGGGGTCCTGGGGTAAAAGAAATGGTGCTTGTTTACAGGGGGATGTGCATATGCAAAAATGCAACAATTTTACTGCATGTAGCTCTGCTGTTTGCTATGGGCTGAACATTTGTGTCCCCCTCAAATTCTTATGCTGAAATCCTAACCCACAAAGGTGATGGTATTAGGAGGTGGGGCATTTGGGAGGTGGTTGGGTCCTTAGGGTGGAGCCCTCATGAATGGGATTGGTGCCCTTATAAAAGAGACCCCACAGAGTTGCCTCACCCCTTCCACACTGTAAGGACACAGGGAGAAGGTGATGGCTATGAACCAGGAAGAGGGTTTCGCCAGAACATGACCATGATGGCACCTTGATTTTGGACTTCCCAGCATCCAGAACTGTAAACCGTAAATTTCTGTCGTTTATAAGCCACCAAGTCTGTGGTATTTGTTGTGGCAGCCCAAATGGACTAAGACACTGTATATAAATTATGCCTCAATTTTTTTAAAGTTTGGAAAAACCCCGGACCTACACACTTGAGCTCTAAAGCTGGGGCTAAGACCACTCTCTACCACTGAGAGCAACTGTCAGACCCCTTTCCTCCTCTCACTGAATAGGCCCTATATGACCCAATGTTTCTTGTTGCCCCTCACAGTAGGGTGGTTGTCCTGCTGTTCTTTAATGAACAACCACCCGTATTTTCCCCTATATAGAAGTGCTGGGATGCAGCTGGGGTGCACAATTCTCGGTATGCTCACCCACCTGCACAGTATTTGTTCCCCCTTGTGACCAAAACACTGCAGTGTGATTGCCCTCAAGATGATGGACCTGGTCTGGCATCTCCCCGCAAACTCCGTCCCTCTCACCATTCTTATTTAGAAACAAATGCACCAGCCTGGTGCAATCTGACCTGCAGACCACTCACATCTCTGACTCTGCAGCGTCCCCACCCACTTTGTTGTCTGTTTTATTCAATTCACTTTCTTTTGTTAATCTTAATACCCATGTGCTTATTGGTGCCCAGTTCATGAGTCAGTGAGCACGTTGGGACCTGAAGCAGAACAGGAGTGCAAACCCCTTGAGCCAAATCATGACCAGAACCAGACCTCAGCTCCCCCAGCTTGGCCCCCGGTGTGCTGATAGAAAACGGCTTCTCCCCATCAAGCCCACCCAGCCAGGGCAGTGACTCATGTTCTACAATTTGATTTGCATTTTCAGTTATTGAAGTTCAGTCTATGTAAACACACAGTGCGTGGATGCTATGAGCCCATTAGGCATTGGGATTGGGATACTTAAACAGAAGAGAGGTAAATTTGAAGATGTCCTTTGCCAAGCTTAGAAGCAAAACTACATTGAAGGATAAGCACCATTATAGATTTTCACTATAGTGGGGCGACATTTTTAAATGGGAGCAGAGGAATTTTTCCATCAGTGTCTTTCTATTGGCAAGATCCCTTGCAACATCTTTGAGATCTGAGAGAAATAATCACCTATGTTTTATTTTTGTCTCATACCATGGACCAGTAACAAAGGAAATCTCTGCATTTTCACTCTTTGGAAACCACACAATCTTCTCTGAAACCTGATGTGTGCCTTCAAGCTTCTGGCACTGAGCATGAGTTTCAAAATCATATTTTTCTCTCCAAATCATCATCCTTGTCTATGCTCAGTCAGGGGTTTGCTCTTTTAAAGCCCCAAGTTTAAATTAAAACCGAAACATAAAGGAAATGCTACTCATTTTTAACCACTTAAATAAAATAGCTTTCTGCATTCACGTTAATTTTGTTCACAGGCTATGCAGGGTAAAGCATATTATTTCTTATTTATATCAAAGTTTTATATTTACAAACATGATTTGCATTAGTTTGTCAGCCCATATGGCATCTTTGAAAGTCAGAGCAGAATTATATTCATTTCACAGGTGAAAAAAACAAAAGCCAAGGACATTTAGTAAATTCGTGTCTGAGAAAGCATTTCCAGGGCTTGAATTTCCCATTCATTTTATTATTTCTTAAGTTTTACCAAGTACTGTGGCTTCATACTCATGACTTCCCTGTCACCCACCCTGTCAAGCACTATTAGGAATATTACATACTGTGACTCCAAGGATGCCTGAAGGGGCGCTGATCCTACCAGAAGCTCAGGATTCCTCAGTGTGGGCCTCAAGGTGCCTGAAGATAAACACTCTGGAATGGTTCGGCAATGCCCATTCTAGATAGTTCTATGGTGATCGGCCCTGTCACTGGCATTCCACAGACATTGGTTACGTTGCATTCACCAAAGCCCTCGATGGTTCTGTGCTTTGGATTCTCCTTCAATGCCACAAGTCAATTCTTTGCACATTTACCTGTTACACAAGGAACTGTGAGGACTCAGGACATTTATCATTTCTGCTGTGTATGGTTAAATATGGTAGACATGGGGGCATTTCTTGGACACACATGAATATTTATTTTTACTAAAAAATGGCTGCTGAGTTCCCCCAAGACATTCTCTCATAGTGAAGGTCCAAAAATCTTTGCAGGTGTATTAATTATAATACTCTCAATGGCTTTAAAGATGAACTAGCCCATCTCATAAAGGAGGGCTGTACTCCACTGCTTGGAGATGGCACTGCCTTGAAAATCCAGTCACCTTCTTTTTTGATCAGAGAAGAGCCCGCACATTGTTCTGTGAAGAGAGAGACCAAAATGCTATCAGCTAAAATGTAGGCTGGAGAACTAGTCTGATTCCCAATTCCTTTTTTTAACTTGTCAGTTGGTTCTAAGACATTACCTACCGCTATTCCCATCACTAATAGGGGTGCTTTCTGCTATACAACAAATGAACTAAAACTTATGAGTTGGTTTCATTTTCTTTAAATTCTGCTCACTACTAAGACGTACCAACCCTCAAGCTTATTAAAATCAAAGTGTGGGGCTTCCCTGGTGGCGCAGTGGTTGAGAGTCCACCTGCCAATGCAGGGGACACGGATTCGTGCCCCGGTCTGGGAAGATCCCACATGCCGCGGAGCGGCTGGGCCAGTGAGCCATGGCCGCTGAGCCTGTGCGTCCGGAGCCTGTGCTCCGCAACGGGAGAGGCCGCAACAGTGAGAGGCCCGCATACCGCAAAAAAATAAAACAAAACAAAACAAAAAAATCAAAGTGTGGGCTGCTTATAACCCGGGGCTAAGTCAGTTCACTGTAAGAGAACTCAATTTGCATCTCCACCCAGTCCAGCCCTAAGGGATTTTCCCTCACCTTTTCCTAAGAGCTTAAGCAAATCCCACTCCTGAGCTAGAAGCCTTGTCACCATGAGCTCACCAGACACAGGAGGTCGGCAGGATTTTCATCCCCGGCCCCATGAATCATCCCTGCTGCACCTTCTTGCCAGTCTCAGCAAAACCAGGCTCCTTCTACTGCCCCGAGGCTATCTCTTAAATACAAACAATTCTCCACTTTTAAAAACTTCATTTTAAAGCAATTGTTAGAAATGTAGAATGCATCCCCACTGTCCTCTTCCAAAACAATACCAGCCCTGGATCCAAAAAATTGTTATTCTTGCAAGTTGACAGCTCTGGCCCACTGCTACCATCATGAGAACCATTATGGGACAGAAAGATAAATACGTGTTCGAGCTTTTAGAGACTCAAAGTCTTTAGAGGAATGAAAAGCAGTCAGAGTTTGGGGCAGCTGGTACCAGGGGAGAGGTATTGGGTAGAAATAACCTGCCTACATGTTGAATGGCCTGACTGGCTGTAATTACAGTTGGCCTTTGTATCCACAGGTCCCTAATCTGCAGATTAAACCAACTGCGGAGCAGAAATGCAGTTCTTTTTAATTCCAGAAAATTCCCAAAAGCAAAACATTTTAATTTTCCACGCCCAGTAACTATTTACATGGATTTACACTGTATTAGGCATCATAAGTAACCTAGGGATGATTTAAAGTATATGGGAGGATGTGTGTAGTTTATATGCAAATATTACCTCATGATATACAAGGGACTTGATCATCCTTGGATTTTGGCTCCTGCGGGGTCCTGGAACCTAACCCCCAAGATACGGAGAGACGACTGTATCTTCACTCACACCGCCTAGAAATATTCACTCTCTGTTGTTGACATATTGTAAATGGTGAGCTTGCACATATCCACATGGGCATGCAGGTGAACTCCACCCACAGCTCACCTGAGTCTTGGCCCAGTGCCTTGTGTTGCCCCGGGAGGCCTGTGAGGGCTGCTCTGAAGTCCCCTCCCCATTCCACGTCTCCCCTGGGAGGCTCAGGAGGCAGTTTCTCTTCGCCTTCCAGCTTCTCAGGAGCTTTGAGGCTTCCTTCCTCACCCCTCAAGATCCATCTGCAGACTATAAACCTGCTTAGCTGTCATCGGGAATCGGCTCCTCAGCTACAGGGCAGCTCACAACGTCTGTTGGAGTCCACCTTTGGTTTTGGCACCATCCTCTCTTGTGTGATGCATTCGGTCCACGAAGAACTGGCACTTTGGCACAGAGATAACTGTTCATATTCTTCAAGTCTCATTGTCCATGGTGAGAAAAGTCATGGGGATCAGGGCCTCTGGTACAAGAGATGGCTTATAAATCAAATATTTGGAAACACATCTTTTTGTGACATGTTTACTTTTATAAAGTCCTTAAAAACCCTATGGAAAGATAAAAATGATATTCACAAATCAGTTCCATAATAATACAAAAGGGAATATCATCTTGTACAGAGTCTTTTTTTTTTCTTTTTCTGGATAAGGTAAGTACTGTCATCTTCATCTTTTACTAGTATGTTGGTGGCGAGCAACAACTTACATTGATACACTCCCTCTCTTGGTTCCGAAACACACGCCTGGATCTTTTCACTTCGTTTAGCTTTTGTGCTTTTATTCCTCAGTGCAAATTCCTATCAGGAATGCGACCGCACTGAATCAGCTTATCTATGTTTCTCAGGGCTTCCTTTTGGTCCAGCTGGATTAGAGGAAACCTATAAGGTGTTTGCACCCAGTTGCTATGAAGGACTCCTTAGACATTCTCCTGAAATTGGCCAGGGCGGGGGTGTAGGATGGGGGTGTCACAGCGCAGGGCCACAGCCTTGGGAAGCACCTGCCGGGTCACCTTCCACACTGAGCCAATGGCCTGTCTTCTGAGAAGTGACATTCTCCAACTTCTTTCTGCATGAACTCTTGACCACCAAGCAGATTGTCTGGGACCCCTATTGTTTTTAGTAAGAATGTTTCCTTCCCTTTATTGTTAGACAATATTCCTTAACCTCTGTTCAACGGCTGCTTTGTGTTCCTAAGAGCTTTTCTGACTTTTCAGCCAACACTCACCTAATTCTGCCACTCCAGTCTTTGGTGCTCTGGCAGTAGTGCCAATTGCCTCTAAGAGTTCCCTCAGGGGCTGCAATCAACGTTCACTCCCTGTCTCTCTTGCTGTCTCTCTGTCTCTCTCTTTCTCTCACACGCACACATGACCATCTCAGACCCCACTTTAGGAAACACTCTTAGAAATATTGTTAGTATCTGGTATAATTTAAGCAGAACAAGATAGGAAACCAGACAGTGTTCCTGGAAACAGAAGATCCTATTATTGCCAACAGTTTGAAATATTCAAGTGCTCACATTTTTCAAACCACTTTGCCAAACAGCTATAAATGATGCAAGTCTGCATTATTTCAAGTCATATTTTCAATGTTCTTTATGAGAGGGGTTACCTCTGGCTCATGTCCAAATGGATGGGAAAACACCAACAAAATGTGGTAGAAAATATCTGTAGAGCTTAGATATTGAAGGGGAGACCAGGTTAATTAATTTCAGGTATACATCATCCATACTAGCAATTTTATCTCTCCTTGCCTAGAACAACACTGCCTTAAACTTCTCTGGGATTAACATAGAACGTGAGTTATCTACATTCTTCATTATTCAGTAGATTAGAGCTGTGATGAGAAGAGCTGCTGTTTTTCTATGAGGTGAGTTATGTTGGCGTTTGGTGCTGTGTTAATATGTATAATTACAGAATGGAGACTGAGGGGAAAGGCAGTTCTAAAATAAATACCTTTCTAAAAAAGAAAGCCTCAAAGGAACTTTTAGTTTGGATTCTTTGCTCTTGCTCCATCTTCTCAAGAAATATAATTGTTTATCTTTTAGTTTTCCACTCACTAATGATTCAAGCCTAAAGCAATGACTTCTGTTTCCATTTGGTTGACCTTGCTGGAAGTTATGCTCACAGGATCAGCCATGGGAGTAAGGAACAGGGCATTCCATGGGTCCTTTTGAGAGAAGACAGCTGGTTTGGAAATCTGACAGCGAGGGCCTGAGGAAGGGTGGATTTGAGTAGGAGAGGTTTGGTCCATTTACCCCTCCAATGCCTGACATGACCCACACCCCACCAAATTAGAGGAAGGAACATACACTGGGCTGACCTGAGAAATAAAGTGTCCCCAACCTCCCTCTAGTCATTCACCATCTCTGCACTCCTGGCATCAAAGACTCTAAGCAATTTTCCCATCTCCTTATTCAAAACAGATATTCTGTTCATTCATTCATACAACCACAGGGGCCTAGGTGTACAGGGGGATGTGCAATACTGCAGATAGCAAAGCCCTAAAATAAGGAGGGAAGCAGTGTAAAGATGACTCTTATACTCTCGACCTTCTGAATCTTAGTAACCAAGTCACTAAAAGAAATTTCCAAAGGCCCTTACTTTGATCCCATGATCTCACTTTGAGGCATGGGTTAACATAGGGAACTTGCCTAAGAACTATCTTAGATTGGTCTTGTGAAGAACAATAGTTCCTTGTTACAAAAGGAGGGAACTGGATCAGGTAATTGTTAACTTTTCTGACTCTGCCACGTTCTGATTCTCCATCTCAGTCAAGCCTTCAGATAACGGCAGCCCTGGTCAATATCCTGACTGCAACCTCATGAGAGATCCTGAGCCAAAACCACCAGCTAAGCTGCTTCTAATCCACAAAAACTGTGTGAAATAATAAATGTGTGCTATTATTTTAAGCTGCTAAATGTAGGGGACCATTCGATATGCAGCAATAGATAACTAATATACCAGACATATAACTAAATACAAAATCACTGGTGACCACAGCTCAGAAATGTGGAGAAAACTGTAGACACACAGACATGCCCTGAAAACCTGACTGTGTCATTGCCTCCCACCGAATCCAGGAGTTATTTTACCTTCTCAGGATTTAACTATGCTAAAGATTTGAGTGTTAGGGGAGAATAACAGCACCATCTACATTACAGAGTGCAGGCAGGTAGGGACAAATATTGGGTAAATAGAGGGTCTGGTTTAGCAGGTGAAGAAAGGGTGGTCCATTCAATCTTTTTTCCATTTACCGATGTCATGGGTAAATCTTCTCAACCAGTTTTCTAAATAACATCTTAGGAACTGGAAGAGGAGCTGAACTTTTCCAAAGTAAGTCATTTTGAGCCCCATCCCCATGGCACCCCTTGGCTGTATCAGGCAATCAGCCTAACAAAAAAAAAATTTACAAAAGTTATCTATCCAAAACTGTTATCACTCAGTGTGACCCCTAACATCTCCTGAAATGGTGTTGATAAAAGATTTTAAAATAATAACTTATTTCACCTCTTTAGCCCATGCTATTTTGAAAATTTTAAAGAGTATTTACAAATGTCCATGCTAGTATAATCAAAAGCATGTTGAGTTTATCTGTACAGTATTGAGTTAATTTACTCACTGGGATCAATCTAATTTCCAAAGATTCCCTGGGCCTGTCCAGAGGCACTGAATGTAGCTGACACTTGTGCAAACAGCAGCAGAAAGGCTATGACTGTGTTTAGTTTGGTGTTGTCTGGATTTCAAAGTCACCCAGAGTTTTGGCATCAGCCCCAAAAGTAATTTTCCCAAACACAGATCAAGGAATTTCCCCCAAAAGAACTGAACTCCAAATGGAAAAATAAATATTGAATATAAGCGGGGGCGGGGGGGAATATAGTCCCCACCCCCAAAGAGGATTTTAAAAAATTAATGCCAAATATTTTATGAAAGCCCAGAAAACCAAAATGTTACGAAAAGGTATAGAAGAATGTTATAAGTCTTGTTGAAAGAATAAAGATTCTGAAAAGGTTTTTTTTGCACTACTTTGTAAAAGATTTTTGCAGATTTTATTAGTCTTCATTTAAAACTCATGAAAATTAGGAGTAACATGTAGGTCTAAATAGTTTTGCTCAAACTTCCAGTTCTTTGGCGCCTGGTGGTGATCTGACAGACGGCAATGGGCAGTGCTCAGAGCAAGCTGAAGTCCCCAAGAGATACCCGACAGCTGACAAGCCCCCACGGACATCTTGGTTGACCAGCAGTCCACAACACTCACTAACTGGATCATCTAACACTAACAGCACCTTGTGTTCCTAGAAAGTTGGGGCTCCCTTAGAAACATGGTGATAACGAACAATCAAAAAATGAGGTATGCTTTCTTGAAACTAGATAAAAATGAATGAAGCTGCAAAAAGAGGTTGTGCTAACAAAGTGAGGGGCTAACAACGAATTATTTGCAAGCACAGATGTATTATTTTTCTGATTATAGTTTAGCTGCCCATCAACTGGTGCTCCATCTTTGTGATCTGGATAAACAGGGATAATGTGGGTTCATGTTATTACAGGTGGATACCCTGTGGTGTGGGGAGGAGAATACAGAAATGACTCATAAACTCTCTGAGGGTAAACTATTTTTGAGTTAAAACGGATCTAGTCCAAATTGGACCACTGAGTCAACTGTTCTCTTTGATTTTTTTAGCTGTAGGAACCCAGCAGTTTGCCTCTGGGCAAAGCTCAAGTTAGAATCCTAATCACTTTTACATACTTAGAATTGTCTAGTCTTTTGAAAGTCAGTTTACTTGCTAGGCTGCCCTGACTATATTTCACTACTTCTCCTCTGTGGTACCTAGACTTCAAACAAACTTGACAGTGATCTGCAGTAGTGAATTACCCCTGTGTTCTTCTTCCTGAAGCACACCATGCAGTTGGACCTAACAACTGACAAAAGATCGTGGGGACACCAGCAACCCTGCAAAAATGTCCAGTGATATCTCCAGCAACTTTAGATATAAAATTTACTCACAGGGAAGAAATGATGTCAACCCCTTTTCTAAATACTGGTGCAGATGGAAGTATAAGAAATGGAGGGATGAATGAGTAGAAAGTTCTCTCTAGATGTCTAAAGGATAAAGAGGAGGGCCCCAGAGAGGCTCATAGCATATAGAAAGGCGTGAGTTAAGAGCAGGCCAGACAAATTTTATGTTGCTTCACAATTTTGCCAAGGGCAAAATTGAATCTGAAAGCAGCAGCCTCCAGAGGACATGGCGATGTGTAGCCTACGTTCAAGGCTCCTTTGCGCTGTCTCTTCTGGTTGGGGGAATGACATCATTGACAAGTCATCTTCAATTATGTCAGGAGTTTCAGGGACATGGAGAGATACCAACAGAATTCAGAAGAGACTAAAAGGTAATGCTCCTTGGGATCCATTCCCAGTTCTATCACTGACTCACAGGGTGACTTTATTATTCCCATTGTTATTAGGGCTATTTTATTGAAGATTGATACTTAGATTTAGAGGTCAATCCAGGACCTCTCCTTGCTTTAGTATCTAAATTAAAGGTAGAACTTTCTT